GAAGCAGGCTCCTAGGACCCTGAGATCATGACCTGAGCCAAAGGCAGAGGCTCAACCCACTGAGCCACTCAGCCCTCATCTCAGTTTTCCTTGGAATTTAGATGCTACTGTATGTATATCTTCATTGTAAATAAACCTATCGTTTATATTTGATACAGTCTTTGTCACAAAATAATACAAAACTAAATAAATTATGTCATTTTGGCAAATTATTTTATTTTATTTTATTTAAAGATTTTATATATTTGACAGAGAGAGATAGGCAGAGAGGCAGGCAGAGAGAGAGGAGGAAGCAGGCTCCCTGCTGAGCAGAGAGCCCGATACAGGGCTTGATCCCAGGACCCTAAGATAATGACCTGAGCCGAAGGCAGAGGCTTTAACCCACTGAGCTACCCAGGCACCCCAGCAAATTATTTTAAAAACATGCTACAACCTGAAAATGGACAATTTGTTTTTCACCTCTTTTTACTTGTCTGTTTTTAAGAGAAATACGTTATTCATTAATCAAGTATTAAGTGACTAAGATTTTATTGTGCAAAACCTCTCAATGAAAGAAGAGTGACAGAAGGTGGAATTTCAGAATTACTTACGTCATTCATTCCTTCCAGTCATTGCAAATTTATGTTACACAGAAAAGACTCAAAAAGTTTGGCAGGCAGCTCAATTTGAACACATTTCAATAAGATTTCCCTTATGTATATTTATACAATTCCATTATAATTGTTATGGATTTTCATATATTAAGTATGTTTAATATTGAAATTATACTAACAATAATTAAATTTCTAAAAAATTGAGTGATTCTTTAGAGCAAAATCAATGACTTATAAAAGGTGATTCGGGGCTCCTGGTGGCAGGTCGGTTAAGCAACTGACTCTTGATTTTAGCTCAGGTCATGATCTCATAATCATGGAATGGATCCACACATCAGACTCCATGCCCAGCAGGGGTCTGCTTGAGATTCTCTCCCCACTCTCTCTCTCTACACATTCTTTCCCTTCTCAGGAATTTATTCAGATACAAATGCAAAAATATGATGATTGGAAGTATATTTCTATTTGCATTAGTCTCCAGATTAGTATGTTCCAGAGTAGAAGTCCCTTGTTATAATTTTACATGCATCTAATCTTGTAGGTCATATGGAAGTGGTATACGGTATGATCATAGCATGTTCATATGACATGTAGACCTCAGGTGCAGCAGATAGGACCAGAGGATCAAACCTCCCTTTGTAAACGTATAAACCAGTGCAGATATATCTGTGCTATATGGGTGACGTGTAAGTGCTATCTATTGTTATTGCCATCTTTATTACAATCATCTTCAGAAAATGGGAGCTCTGTCATTCCTTACAAGGGACAAAGGTATCCTAAGCTAATGAGCTTAGCACCTTTGGAATCTAGTCTTCAGTCCTTGCCACAGTAGTGTTCAGTCACTAAGCATGCAGTTGAGGGTGCGCTGGGAAATTCAGTTAAATTCCTGGATCTTTTATTATTCTGTTTCACTTCACAAAATGTTTGGGATTGAAATAGATGGACCCTAAGCTGTCCCTTAACACCTAAAAATATAACAAACATAAAGCAAAATCAGATATATACATACACAGAATGAACTAACAGGGAGGTGGGTGGGCGCTGGGCAAAATGGGCGAAGAAGGTGGGAGATACACGTTTCCAGTTATGGAATGAATAAATCGTGGGAATAAGAGGCACAGCATAAGGATTACAGTCAATGATACTGTCACAGGGATGTCATGGGACAGGCGGAAGCTACACTTGTGGTGAACACAGCATCATGTATAAACTTGTCAAATCACTAAGTTGTATACCTGAAACTCATGTAACATGGGGTATCAATTACAGTAAAAAAAATACATCATATGGTCCCAAGACCTTTGACAGATATTAGAATATTGTTGAATATGCTATAAGCACTTCTGAACACTGCACTGGGGAATACTACCTTACAAATGTTGAGAACCAAGAAAAATATCAAGGAACCAAGGAACCAAGGAATCAGGGAACCAAGAAAAACTCATTATTTGACTATGACAAAGCTGGTCGCTGCTTTCACAATTCTAATCTTTACTCCATATGTGTGCAGGTGTGTATGGAGTAAGATTAGAGAAATATATTAAATATGAATATTAATGTGTATTATGTAATTATGTATAAGATAGTATATTATCTATAAGCTATATATATATATATGATCTATATTATATAAACTTTATACCTATCATCATCAAGAAAAACAAAAATGTAATGCAACATACTCTCCTAGGCACTAATATTGAATAAAACAATACCATTTGTGGAACTTGAAACTCTCTAAATAGAATTCCTTTGTTTCCTCATTAAGAGCCTTTAAAATGACATAACCACTCATTTCTGAGTAGTAGCACTGATTGAAGTTCTGTTCTTGTTGTTTTGGAATTATCATCTCATATCTGGAATACTTTGATTTCAATACAGAAAGACTTAGTCCATCCCCACATCCTTCATCACACAATGACTTTGATTTTAGGCATATGCTATGGTAGATTCCACCCAGTTTTAGCTGTCCAAAAAAGCAAGAAAAAGCAGAATATTCAAATGCTGCATAGGCAACATGACGCAGAGGATAAATTTGTTCTAATCGAAGCTTATTGTAAAGTGATGAGATAATCACAGAGAAAGCTTCATAACACTCATCATTGAAATGAGAGTGATAACCCACCCCTCGTGCCAGAATATAAAGGATTGGTGTGCTTTCCTCCCACGGACGAAGAAGGCCAAGTTTTTTTTCTGAATTCAACATTGAAATGTCCACCCACTTGAAGGACTTCTGGAGATCATTTACGTACACGCACGAAAACTCTATTTTTTAGCTCAGATAGAAATACTTCTAATGGCATTTGCACAGTATGATATAATTCACCATTTCTTGCATAAGCAGAATTCTAAATACTCACAGAACTCAGTCACTGTTAGAGTTGAATGGGACCTTCAAGGTTTACCAGTCCTTTCCCTACAAAACACTGACATTGCCCCTCCCCCATTCACGTAACATGATGATTCATTTTCCGACTGATCACTCTCCATCCAGAGCCCATATCCTCCATGGGAATCCATTCAGTTTTGGAGCATTCCTATGAGCTAGACATGTTTTTCTTGAATTTCACTTAGATGTTTCCCTAAAATCTAATAAACAAATCTCAGCTCTCAGACAACATAAGTCTAAGGTAGTTATCACATTTCAAACAACAACAACAAAATCTCTAAGATAAACACTTCTCCTCCTTTGACCTGGTCTCATGTTTCCAGTGGCTCCTGATTCCTGCTCAGCCTCTTCTAAGTGATTACTCTCCTCCTCATTCACAAAACCCAGAAAAGAACAGATTATGTCATCTGCAGTCTTCCCATGAGATGATCTCCTTTGAGTTGTTTATTTCAATTTCCTTAATATAAGCTAATACTGCTAAGCTATTTTTGTCCATTATTATTATTTTTTAAGTATTGGCTCAAAATGAATTTGAATGAAATACAACTTCAGGAAGTCCTAGGAGTTAGGGTTCTTCTATACTACTGTTGTTTTAGTCAATATTTGAAAGATAAAGATATATAATTTCATTTTCCCCCTCTTACCTTTCATGGTACAGTTTTGATAAAAACTGAAGATTTTTGTGATATTGTTTAAAAACCTGATAATATTCTCCAACATATAAGCTACCCCTACTATATGTGTATCATTTAAATTAAATAGGAGTTCTCAACGTATTATCATCCAAGACTGAAAAGAATATCGAATAAGCACCTTTAACTTGTCACCAAAGGCAAGAGCTATTGGCCACTGTGGAGTGATCATCAGTGAGGACATTAAATGTGCTATCTTGTAGCCTGAATTTCTTCCTACTCTAGTCAAGAAAATGACAAGTTTCGTTTTTGTTTTTGTTGTTGTTTTGTTTGTTTGTTTTTGACCCAATACCTTGCTGAAATCAAGATGCACTACCTCTAACCTGGATCAACTACTAAAATGAGGACATGATGGGAACATGCTGCTTAAATCTGCAATAACGTTGGGCAAGATAATTCGCTCCATGATGGTATCAAGATTTAGAAAGACTGAGTGACATTTGGTACTTCTGGTGTCCTAGAACTCTCCAACTGGGTAATTAGAGAGGAATTTCACTATATAAAAGAATTGTCCAGTATATTTAATATTTATGAACTGAAAAAAATATTGCATGTTGTGCCTATCACTGAGAAATCCTGGAGGTTTCAAAAGCATTTTTTTTTCTATTTAATAAATATATTGTTTCAAAATACAAGGCGCTGATTTCTTAAAGCTGAATTTTTTCAGGATTATTTTTTTTCCTTTGTATAAAATTATTAAACGTGAGTTATTCAGGGTTTCTAAAGAACATTCCAAATATATCTATTAATATGACTCATTATTTGTTGGAACATAATTTTCTAAAATTGCTGTGCTTTGCACATAACTCTGGATATCACCCATTGTGCCATTTTAAATATTTTCTGAAACGTTTTCTCTTTACTCTCTTCCCAAACAATTCTCTCTCTTTGCCTACGTTAATGGGAACTCTATCCTCTTAGACCTATTTGCAGTACGTGGGACTACAGGAGGAGCTCACTGAAGAGAAGCTACCAAATATTTTTGCGCAGGTTTTTAAGATTTAAACTCAAACTTCATCAGAAGCTGTTCAAGTTCCATACACTTCGTTAGAGCTAAAGCAAAGAGAAACAAAACTGTCATTTCCCGGTTGAACGCTGAGCTGTCTTAAGCAAGGCTATGATGCCTGTGCAGAAGCAGGTCATCAAAAAGTGATCTGTGACTCTCTCCTGTCTCTGGGCCCAAATGACGGAAAGGGAATCTCAGAAAGAACTCGTTACACACACCCTAGTGTGCTGGCACTGCAAGGAGAAACACCGCGAGCCGCTGGCGGGACCTGCCGCCTGGGACCTCTTGAAGGACAAACAGTCAAGGGCAGGGGTTCTTACGTTCTTGGAAGGATGTGAAGAGCATCTGAAATCGGCTGTTCCGACTGCCCTCATCGGCCCACATGCGGATGACGCCAAGACCCGTGCGGAGCATGACGTCATTGGCCACGGTGCTGCAGAACTTGGCCTTCAGGTCCCCCACGGAGCTGCTGCCGTCATACACAGCCACAAAGTTCCTTTTGCATTCGTTTGAATTCTGCATCTCATAGTCCAAGAAGCGTAAGTAGATCTGTAACATAACAACAAAGATGCAGTAATTTCCTCAAATCAAAACAGGAAAGTAGTACAGCGAGCACCAGGCTTTCTCTTTAGTCTCACAAGTCAGTCTTGATTGCAATCAATCTTACGATGTTTCCCCTGTGGGGCGGCGGAGGTAAAGATGTACAACTAAGATCAAACCGTGCTTAGTATTTTTTTCAAATGTTATTTTCCTTTCTTGACGTATGTAAGTGTATGGAAATAAATAATCTGTATTACTATTAAAGGAAAACAGAAACGGTATCAAAATATAGTCTCTGATTTCACTTTGTTTAAATCATTTCACAGAACCACACTGTTTCCTTTTTAAAGTAGAGCACATTAAAAAGAACAAAATAAAAGAGAGCTAATCTGTGATTATTCTTGCCACAACATAGAGTCAAGCCATTTAGTGAAGTGCACATAAATAAAAATTAAATTAACATTTAATGAGTAGAATTTCCCTGTAACCTACTCTATAGATTATTTTTAAATACTCCCAACTACTCTATACAGTTTTATTGTCCTATTCAGATGATGAAACAGAGACTCAAGAGGTATACACTGGACATCAGACAGGGTCTCTCTAACTCCCTAGGCTATGAGCCTTCCACAATATAACACTGCTGTGGACATGCTGTTTTATGATCAACAGATTTTATCTGACTCTGTTCCAGTGTGCTTTACAAAATCATAAGCAATTAATTCAGCCAAAGATAGGTTTGAAAAGAAGTCATCAGTCCTTTCAGCTACTGGTTCAGCATTATCTACAACCTGGCCTCTGACTTTATCCCAGTCACTATTCAAGGCACTGAGGAAACGCAGGTGCACAAAAGAACGAGGCTCAGTGTTGAAAGTATGTGTTCATTAAGCCATGACACATGGACACAAAGTCATACAGACAGAAGTGATATAAAGAAAAAAAAATCTCTGTACTATGAGAGGGATATCTGGAATGGCTCTGAAATAAAGAAAGCACCCTTCACAAATATCTACTAAGCCTTTTATGCTTTCTAACATGAAAAGCTATGGGCTATCTCCTCTCAGACACCCTTCTATTATTAATGTACCGTGGGTGTAAACTGAAGACATGTGTTCACCTAAATATCCATCTTTTTCATCTCAACACTCATTTTGGCTTATTTATTCATAAACTATGAACCCCATACAACAAAAATTTATTGGGTTCGTTTGTCTGCCTTAAACTTAAAAGTTTCAGTATTTCAAATTAAAAAAAAGTTCTCCTTTGCCCTCAACATTCTAACTGAATCGGGCAGTGATACTTGTTAATTTGAACTTCAAAAGAGTTGTTTCCATCTCTGCTGGCAGGTCGGTCTATGATATTTCAATAGTCTCCCAGCTGGCCTGGATCTGTCCAAGGTTCTAATTTTCCAGTCCACTTCCAAAGCCCAGGCCCGTCAAAGTTATATTTCTAAGAAACAAATTTAATAATCATACTACCATCTTTTAGCTGGTATCCAAATGGTTATAATTTTAAAAAGTTTAAAAACCATAGACCTGTCAAATTTTTCTTCTCATGTCTGAACATACCACATTTATTTTACAAAATGCCATCCTTTCTGCACAGGACATCAGTTAAATGTGAGTAACCATTCCTTCTTCTCTGCCTACTAAGCTCTTCCTGGTTTTTCAAGGTCCATTTCAATGGTTACACACCCAGTCCAGAATATCCGTGGCCTCCACTCCCCAACCATGGCAGAATTAATCTATGCATCCCTTACCCTAAAATATTATTTTGAACTTATTTTAAGCTTTAGTTACAGGTTCTACAAAATTTTTACTACTTTTACTTTCCTAAAAAGCTGGGGCAGTGGCATACATTTTTGCATTTGAGGCACCAAGCCACGTGTTGTATACACTAGGCGTTCCATCAAAGTTTGTGAGGGCATGATTGTGAATGACTGACCGATTGGAGAATTCTATTTTGCTATTGATTTCATTTGTTTATTATCAATCGACTATTGACTGGGCCCCTGTATGTCAGAATGTTTAAAGTACTATAAATAATAATTATATGGAATAATTGACATTTTATTATTTGCAGTAGGAAACCAAATGCAAAAATCCCCCAGATAAGGTGTTTCTTTATAACTCTGAACTGTCAGAGAACCACAAAATAGTATGCTGCAGACTTTATAGGAGAGAATGGACTAAAAATAAAGTGTGAGTCCCAAGTCAAGAAATACTCATATAACCTTGAGGAAGAATAACAGAGAAATAGGGAGAAATGGGCAAAAATTGAGAAACAGTGGAAAGCATTTGAGTTTTATGATGTTTTTCTTGGTGAGGTTTTCACACAAAGGTAATCTGTAACATTGTAGTTGGAGCTACTCTAAAGTTTCCAAACACTTTGATGCTAATTTTAACTGCCATTACTACAGACATAAAACATATGCCCTAAGAAAGCCTTCATGTTCCTCACTCCCAGGTTATGTTCTACTTCATTTTATCAGAAGTTCAGCTATTACTCACATAACCCATCTGGGACGCACTCTTCCCAACCATTACTTTCCTGAAAGCTATACAGGAAATCCCCAAATGTCTCCTTTAAGAAGGCATATGTGAAAATGTTAAACCTTCCAAGTTTTCACTAACTACTGTGTTTTTCAAATTTTCACATGGATTTATGAAAAGGGATTGGGTCTTTCAGATGACCTTTACCAGGAAGCCGGAGCAGAGGAGACAAAACAGCTTGCTCAAGGGATGGAAGCAATCGATGTGGGAGCCTTAAGTAGGATTAAAACACCTAACTCTTGTTTTAAAGCTCTTTTCACTATACTACATCACCTGATCCTGACCTAAAAGTAAACAGACTGAAAGTACTATAAAAATATAAATTCTTTCAAAATCTAGGGATTCTTATTAGGTAATATAAACTTGTTAAATGTAATAAAAATCAAGTATATATTTATATTCTCAAATACTATACAATCAACCCAACCTCAAAAGAATTAGCCATCAAAAGAATATGAATTATAATTGTAAATACACGTAGTTATCAGCAGGAGGAAACACTGAGTAGGGTACATGAAAAGGTCCTTTGGAGTTCGAACTTAAAGTAACCCCTCCCTCCTGTGCCATTTCAGAGCTACAAAAACCAAACAGTCTGCCCACAGAAAGAGAAATAAATCATTTGACTAATTTAAGGAAGAAAGATATTTGAGAGGCAGATGTTTCCAGGTTGAGTGAGTCAGTGGCCTAAGGTGCCTGCCCTCCTATTTTGAGTTTCCTACCCTGCCTGAAGAAACGCAGCTTAAAATGCTAATTTATTATTTGCATCCCAAACTGGCAATAACTTAAGACATCGTGCTAATACATGATTTCATTCCAATCTCTCGACAACAACAGACACTTGTTATAACCATTTTAAAATGAAAAAGATGAGACTGGGAGAAACTAAGTAACCTTTTCAAAGTGACCCAAGCCCTTAGGTGACAGATGAGTATTGAACAGAGATCCCCCTGACGGTTTCCTCCTTTGTACCGTGCTATGCAGACTGATGTATTTTTTTTTAATAATTCTCACAGATTTATATTCCAGAAAGAAAATTATCATCTTAAGGAAAACAAAGCACAACCAGATAAATGGCTAAACCAGCAAAGCCAAACTATTTCGATTTTCCTACAGGGGCGAGGAAACATATTGACCATCCAGATAAAAATGAGATTCACGGAAAATAAATGTGTCCCACTGAAAGAAAGGGCTGTCTTAAATTTTCTTAAAAAGAAGTTTGTTTCATAGAAGGGCACTGCTATAGTTAGAAAGGCAATTTGCATATTCAGCCAGTGGTTTCTCATTTGACAGCTCAAGAGAGTGTCCACATTTTTCCATACGAGGCAACTGACTGGTATTCTCATGTGAAGTTCAATGACAGCGGTCTAAGCACTTCTATATTTAAAGGCCATTCTTAGACAGGACACCATTTATAGAGGAAGTGAACAATTAGTCTTTTGAAAATGACTTTGAGGGGTGCCTGGGTGGCTCAGTGGGTTAAGCCTCTGCCTTCGGCTCAGGTCATGATCCCGATCCCAGGGTCCTGGGATGGAGCCCCGCATCGGGCTCTCTGCTCAGCAGGGAGCCTGCTTCCCTTCTTCCCTTCCTCTCTCTCTGCCTGCCTCTCTGCCTACTTGTGATCTCTCTCTGTCAGATAAATAAATAAAAGTCTTTATTAAAAAAAAAAAGAAAGAAAGAAAATGACTTTGAAATGGAATTGCTAGACCACCTCTTAAAGGGACATCAGGAGTGACACACATCCACATTGTTCAGTGGTTAAGAGGACATGAGGTAGACGACCTTGAGAAGGAAGAAAAGAAGGTTCCGTGCCAGACTGGTCATATTTAGAAGACATTTTCATATTACAACCATTGTTTTGTGTCTGCATTTTAACTACTGTATATATAGATGACCATGCTAAGTACATTTTTGAAGTATCTACTCTTTCCAGATACTCTGAAGTGCCTGATATGTGTTGAAAATAGAGGTAGTAAAAAGACATTCTAATAAATATCTTTTTGTTAACATTCAAAAAAAATTTTATATATTTTTTATTTTATATATTTTATATATTCACTTTTTTATATATTCACTTTTTAATATATATTTATATATATATTCACTTCTGAATATATATATATTATATATATTTTATCTATATATATTCACTTCTGAAGCATTCCATTATTTTTTTAACTTCATTTTTAAAAAATCATTTCGGAAAAGATACAAAATATGTCCCTGGCATATTTTGGTTTTCTGGGTGCGGTGCTATTGGTGCAAAAGCCAACTGTCCACAGCCAGAGAAGTGATCGAGCTTCCCCACACTAGCTCTAGGATACATCATATAAAAGCCTTCCTTAGATTGGGATTTAAAAGATATCTGGCCAGCTTAAAACTTGTGCCATAAGATCACCAAGGGGGAGAATGCCCCATGACGTGGGTTTTATTTAAGGTGGAAAACTACAGAAAGCTCTT